GTGTTCACAGATGCAGACTGGGCATGCTGTTTAGATTACAGGAGGTCCGCTGGTGGTTTTGCTATATTTTTAGGTCCTAACCTGATTGCTTGGAGTTCTAGAAAATAACCTACAGTATCTCGTTCTAGTACAGAAGCTGAGTATAAGGCACTAGAAAATGGTACAACTGAAGCAACTTGGATACAGTCATTACTTAAGGAGTTGGGAGTTGTTCAAACAAGAGCACCAGTTCTGTGGTGTGATAATTTGGGAGCCACGTATTTAACAGCTAATCCGGTGTTTCATGCTAGGACAAAACACATAGAAGTTGATTTTCATTTTGTTAGAGAAAAGGTGGCAATGGGAGCTTTGGATGTACAATTTATATCATCTAATGATCAATTAGCAGATGGTCTCACAAAGCCAACTACAAGGAATATGTTGGAACGTTTGTGTAACAATCTTAACCTTGCTCCGGTTAAGATTGAGGGGGAATGTAAAATGGATAATAGATAAGTCTCATATTTAAATATTTAGATATAATTGTTGTAAAGATTAGATCCATAGTTTTAGGATCTGATTATTTATCTTGTTACTTGTAAAGTGTTTCTATATAATGAGATTATACCCCTCAGGGCTATTCACGCCAAAATCTATTTTCTTAACTGCTTCGGTTGCTTATCCGAGACTAATAATATTATTCTTCAGATCCGGTATGTAATAAATCTCCGTCATCAGCCTTTGTTAACCCCTCTTTCCTTGGAAAAGTATAGCAACTTCTCCTTTGATTTTTACACACGACTTATCTCCAAATTTAACCCTACCGGTGATGCATTCATCAAGTTCGGAGAAAAACGACCGGTTTCCTATCATGTGATTGCTCGCCCCGTTATCCAAATACCACACATCGTTATCTTGTGAATCGTATCGAGACGGTATCACATTTTCTTCGTTTAAAAATACGGTCTCGTGTAAAAATACGATCTCATCGTTATCATCACTTTCGGCAAAATTACTCTCTTGTAATTTTTAATTCGGTCCGGACATTGAGACGCAAAGTGGCCCGGTTTATCTCCGATCACAAATAATTTTTGAACGGTCCTTCTCGGTTTTATTCTTATTTCGGTTATAATTGGAATTGGAATTGGTCTGATCAAAATTAGACTCATTTCCTTAACTGGGTTTGCCACCTTGCGAGGCCCGATTAGCTTGTTTAGACCCATTTGATCCACTCGGACCATTTGACCCGCTACCCCATTAAAACCTTTCGTTCCTTTTCCTTGTGTTCTGTGATTATTCGAACCACCACCACCAGACGACTTTGTGAACAGTACCTTCGATTGCCCTTCTTCGGCGTCATCATCCTCCCTAATCCGTTCTTCATACGCCTTAAGTCTTCATACTACATCTTCAAAGCCGACAAATTTTAGATCGAAGACATGTTCCAGTGATGCTACATTTTGGATGAACTTCGATCGGGGTAGGGTTTTCAAAAACTTCTTAACCAACTTGGATTCGTCAATGGTTTCTCCGAGGGATGCTGATTTCGAGGCGATACCAGACAACTTTCCGGCTTATGAATCAATTGATTCGGACTCCGACATCTTGAGCCGATCAAATTCTGATATTTAGGTTTGTAATGGCGCCTCCTTCACACGTTCAGCCCCCATATGCCTTGATTTGATTGTATCCCAAAAGTCCCTTAGGCGATTCTTGTTCACCGATTTGGATTATAAGATTTTCAGGTATTGATTGGTAAATCAAACCCATTGCTAAATAATCTTTGTCTTATTTTTTGTAGTTTCTGGTTCAATTATCTTGCAAGCCTTATGAATCTTCAATACAACCTTCATTCTCATTGACTAAACCATGTAATTCGTCGACATGAGCATAGGACAATGAACAAAAGTCGATCCAATCTCCTTCATCCTCGCTGGAGCAGCTCCTCCTCCCCCTTCTCCATCCGACATGTTGACCTGGGTCGTGAACAGGTAAGTGATTCGATCTCAGAGCCCTTGTTCTTGGCTCTAATATCAATTCAAGTTCAGAATATGTAAACACTATTAACCAAAATAACTTTTTGATTATTATGAGAAAATCACTCAAAACTCACAATGTTTACAATGTCTCTCAATGATCATAACTCGATCAAAAAACAACGTATATATAGACCTACATTCTACCGACTTGTAGAACAAGATTAGGATTCTAAAACCAACTTGCTTAAAATCTCATTCTTACTTGGTCTCCAAGTCCTACTTGACTTAGGATTCTAACACCAATTGATTTTCCGCCCCTCCTCAACGGGTTTTCCAATTCCAAATCCAAGAATTTAGTTGAATATTTGAAGTGTTAACCCTCTTTGAAGTTAAACAATTTTCTGGAACTCGACTAAGTATAGGCATGGGAACTTGTTCTTGAGAGTGGTTTCTCCCGCTCCACTCATCTTTCCAAAACATTGTACTTGATCCAATTTTGACTTTTCTTTGGAAGAGATCGGGTAAGTTAACACCCTCTTCCATCTTATCGTCTTCAATATTTGCTATATTTAGACACAATTCAGAATGAATTTTTCGGCCAATAAACATTTATCATGTCCGTTAAGCTTATGAATTGCACAGAATACACAAGACCATAGGCTAAGAGTTTATGTTTTTAACTTCCACCACTGCTTAGAAAGAAGAGCTAAGTTGAAGTTCCTCAAGCATCCAATTTCATGTCCTCCAAAACTTTTAGGGGAAACCATCTTTTGCCATGCGACCCACTTAATCTTCTTTTTAGACTCATCTCTTTCCTACAAGAATTTTTACCTAATGCTTTCCAACAAACCAATGATTTTTTGGGAGCTTTGAGAATAGAAAAACTATAGATGGTAAGCTTCCAAGTATTGTAGAGAGGTAAGATATGTTCAGGCGTGTAAAAGTCAAGTATTGTAGTGCCCCTTCAAGACCATGGTATTTGGTTGGGTTGGCTACGAGTTCCCGGAAGAGGCTACTTTACGGTAAATTTCAATAGAAGTTTTGTTAACATTGCAATAAATCATGTTCTCATGTTTCAAAATATTGGTTGCATTCTTCATATGAGGAAGAAACATGCATTGATGAGATCGAGAGATCGAAATATTGAGACAATATTAGTGACCTGAGATTGGTCATTGAAATCCCTCGACCAAGTGCATTGATGATGCAATTAAGAAATCCTTGTAATGAGTCGGTGAAGATGATGTCATCTACATATAAGAGAATTTTGAGAAGGTCAAAGTTATTCTTGTAAAAAAAATTAAGATGAGTCGGTCTTGCTATTAACAAAATTTAGTGAGGTAACATACGTGGAAATCGTTGGAACCATGAATGTGTTGCTTGATTGAGGTGATATAATGATTTATGTAATAGATAAACATGAGATGGTCAAACGAGATCAGTAAAACCCAGTGGTTAATGCATATATAATGTTTTAGAGTGATGAGTGTGTAAAATATTGTCCTAACGCTAGAGACTGCACGGCTGAGGACTGTACTGATAATTGTGGGTTTGTCTACCGGACTATAAGTTTTATTGCATTTGATCCCTAGTTGTTGATTGTGATTGTTAGCGACGATGATAACCTTGTATCGACTAACAGAGCCATCGATGTGATGTTTATGTTAAAATAACCATATGCAATGAACGACATTGACACTTGCAGATCTAGGAACAAACACCCATGCATTATTTCTCATAAGCACATTGTACTTTATCTTTTAGACCTATCTCCTAAAAATCAGGAACTGAACTAAGAACGCTTTTAGAAGCAACAAATATGAACATCATTGGTAGGTTCATTTTCCACCCAACCATCTTAGTTGCACTCCTTTTGGTAATGTTCATCTTTTGATTCAAGAAAATATGGTTAAGCAAGAATTTTTTGAAGATATTGAGATGTCTTTCAAACCAAGTGATTTGAAGCACCATATGGTGCGTTGTGTTTATTTGTTTTGGAAGGTTCTTCGATTGGAATGAGCTTCATCGGTGTTTAATGAGGTTTTTTCAAATTTTGAATGAGGTGGCTGCACGTTATATTGAATAAAATCTTGTTTCTATATTTGAATGAAAATTATTTTTTCATAATTTGATGAGATTTGTTTCTCATATTTTGATATCCAAGGGCTTCATGTTGTTCAAATTGACAGAGGGTTCTTCCAAATACACGTTAAAATTGCATGTGGTACTTAATGGGCTGCAATCGTACTTATAGACTCCGATTTTGTCATGGGCCTAACCATGAGCCCATAGTATTTAAGGTTTGGAAAAAATATCATTTTTGTACAAGTAAGATTGTACGGTCTGCAATTTTGCTTATGGATTCTGATTTTGTCACGAGCCTAACCAATTAGCCATGGTATTTATGGTAATCATTTTTATACAAGATCCCTATACTAATAAAAGAATAGTTTTAATCTACTTTTGTCATGTGTCATTCTAATACAACCCCACATTAATATTATGACATGTGTCAATGATATATATTAGGCAAATCACTATCACAATTAATGACGTTAAGGTTTTAACTAATTGATTCTAAACTTTTTATAGAAACATTTACTTTTTTAATTATATGTTAACTTTAAAGTTATAACTAACTTTAAAATTTCGGTATATCTCTTAATTAATAGGTTATTTAAAATTACTTATGTAAAATAATTGATTAGTAATTATGAATTTTTGCTATGAAAATTGAATTAATTTTATTTTGTAACCGTGGTTCCCACGGCTTATAAACCAGTAACATATAAATTAGACATTTGTATAATGTCACTTGAAGAAATCCCAGGACTTATAAACTAGTAACATATAAATTAGACATTTGTATAATGTCACTTGAGTAACATATAAATTAGACATTTGTATAATGTCCCTTGAAGAAATCGCAGATGAGGCAGAAAAAAACAGACCAGCCTATATATTATTATTTTTAAAAAAAATTAAATGACTACTCTGTGAGTCTATGTATATAAAGCAAGTCAATAATAATTAACCTAAACAAATGGCACAAAATTGTTGTAATAAACAGAAGACTCTGGAACCAACCAGGGCGGAAAAGAAGAGGAAAAAGAAAAACAAGTTTGACAAAATTTAAACCGACTGTTTCTTTCTGTAGCACGTTCCATGCCCAGAAACTTGACAATTGCCATATCTTAAGAGGCAAGAACATTCTGGAAATACAACCTTTACCCTTTATAAAACCACCCAGCTACCATACCCCCTCCTCATCAAGAGAATAAACAAGCTATCAGTAATATCGTGCAAACTATTTCTGTGTAATATTCGTCTATTCAATCTGTTTTTTGGTGGGTGATCGGAAATATGTCGGGGAAAGGTGAAGGACCGGCGATTGGTATTGATTTAGGAACGACTTACTCATGCGTCGGTGTTTGGCAGCATGATCGTGTGGAGATCATTGCTAATGATCAGGGAAACAGGACGACGCCGTCTTATGTTGCTTTTACGGACACCGAGCGTCTTATTGGGGATGCCGCCAAGAATCAGGTGGCCATGAATCCAACAAACACTGTTTTCGGTATGCTCTCTTTCTCTCTCGCTAATGTCTTGAAGATGCTATTTTTATAAATTTTTTTATGGAGTGTGGATGATGGTAGTTTTGAATGGTTTCTGGATATTTTTGTTAATTTTGAGCGTTTTTCAAGTCTAATTGGATGAATTCATTATGTGATCTCTGCAGATGCTAAGCGTTTAATCGGGAGAAGATTCTCTGATCCATCGGTGCAAAGTGACATGAAGCATTGGCCGTTTAAAGTCGTCCCGGGCGCCGGAGACAAACCCATGATTGTCGTCAACTACAAGGGCGAAGAGAAGCAATTCTCTGCTGAAGAAATCTCTTCCATGGTTTTAATCAAGATGAAAGAAATCGCTGAAGCCTACCTTGGCATCACCATCAAGAACGCGGTGGTCACTGTCCCTGCATACTTCAACGACTCACAGCGACAAGCCACTAAGGACGCCGGTGTCATCTCTGGTCTTAACGTCATGAGAATCATCAACGAGCCAACTGCAGCCGCCATTGCTTATGGGCTCGACAAGAAGGCTGCCAGTGTTGGCGAGAAGAACGTGCTGATCTTCGACTTGGGTGGTGGCACTTTTGATGTCTCTCTCCTCACCATTGAAGAGGCATTTTCGAGGTGAAGTCGACTGCCGGAGATACTCATCTGGGCGGGGAAGATTTCGATAACAGGATGGTTAACCACTTCGTTCAGGAGTTCAAGAGGAAGAACAAGAAAGATATTAGTGGGAACGCAAGAGCTTTGAGGAGATTGAGAACCGCTTGTGAAAGAGCGAAGAGGACTCTTTCATCAACTGCTCAAACCACAATCGAAATTGATTCTCTATACGAAGGAATCGATTTCTACTCTACAATCACCCGTGCAAGGTTTGAAGAGTTGAACATGGATTTGTTCAGAAAGTGTATGGATCCAGTCGAGAAGTGTTTGAGAGACGCGAAGATGGATAAGAGCAACGTACACGACGTGGTTCTCGTGGGTGGGTCAACCCGGATTCCTAAAGTTCAACAACTGTTGCAGGATTTCTTCAACGGGAAAGATCTCTGTAAGAGCATCAACCCAGATGAAGCGGTGGCTTATGGAGCTGCCGTTCAGGCCGCCATTTTAAGCGGCGAAGGAAACGAAAAAGTTCAGGATCTGCTTCTTCTCGATGTCACCCCTCTGTCTCTAGGGCTTGAAACTGCTGGTGGTGTTATGACGGTGTTGATACCCAGAAACACCACCATTCCGACCAAGAAAGAGCAGGTGTTTTCTACTTACTCTGACAATCAACCAGGCGTTTTGATTCAGGTTTACGAAGGTGAAAGAACACGAACTAAAGACAACAACCTGCTCGGAAAATTCGAGCTTTCCGGGATCCCTCCTGCTCCTCGTGGTGTTCCACAGATCACCGTTTGTTTCGACATTGATGCTAACGGGATTTTGAATGTGTCGGCTGAAGATAAAACGACAGGACAGAAGAACAAGATCACGATTACAAATGATAAAGGAAGGCTGTCGAAGGAGGAGATAGAGAAGATGGTGCAGGAGGCGGAGAAATACAAGGCGGAGGATGAAGAGCATAAGAAGAAGGTGGAGGCGAAGAACACGTTGGAGAACTATGCGTATAACATGAGGAACACGATTAAAGATGAGAAGATTAGCTCAAAGCTGGCGGCGGATGACAGGAAGAAGGTGGAGGATGCGGTGGAGGAGGCGATACACTGGTTGGATGGGAACCAGCTGGCGGAGGTTGATGAGTTTGAGGACAAGATGAAGGAGCTTGAAGGGATATGTAATCCGATTATTGCAAAGATGTATCAGGGTGGTGCAGGTGGGCCGGATATGGGTGGAGATATGGAGGATGACGGACCTTCCACCGGTGGTGGCGCTGGACCCAAGATTGAAGAGGTGGATTAAGGGTAATCGAAAATGGTGAGATGAATGTAGGATTATGGGTTTTGGTGTGTTAGGAAGAGAGTAGTAGTTTGGTTGTTGTGGTGTAGAGGGTTATGAATTATGAAGTTATAATAAAAGTTTTGTCTACTTTAATGAACTTTGTCAAATGTGAACTTTTCTTGGTAAATTCCTATCCTTCTAATTTTTTCGGTCTTTAAACTATTTACGAGATTCACTTTTCTATCATGGTATAAACACAATAGCTAGGACATAGAAATCGACCGAGGTGATTTGTACTAACTTTGTACCAACTTTTTAAGACTGATCAAACCTATGGAGTCGATGAAACCTTATCAAAATTTTCTGTTTTGAGTTTTCATATCGACTTATTTTAGTACAGGACAGAGAGATTAGGATATAGATGCCCTATTTGCTAGAAGAGGTGGCGAAACATTAAAAAGTTTTGTATGGGTGAACTTTTGATTGTTCCACGGAAAAAATAATATTGTGACATTTATACCCTTCGTTTTTAATATGTAAATATTTAGGAAAAAGAAAGACGAGTCCTTATGCCTATAGATTCGAGTAACGCGACTTTCATATAAACCAAATTACTACATAACAAAGTACCTACTAATTCAACTTTTAATGTGGACAACAAAACCAACAAATCTGTGGAGGAGACTTCAACACTAGCTTGCACTAGAAACAAAATCAATACCGCAGTTGTGACGAGAAATAATAGCCGAACAACTGATTGTAACTTTATTACACAAAACATACAAATCCCAGTGAAAAACTATCCCTTTTTTTATTAATAACTTCGGAGCAACTCAGTATCATGTAGTTTTCCACCGGAAACAATTACCTTTTCAAGGAACCCATTTCAACCATCGAAGCTCCACCTGATCATCAATAAATACTCTCCAAATTCACTATAATGCTTCTCAAGGATCCTAGCGATTCATCTAGAAACAAACATGAAAAATCAATTGTTTTCTTGTATCCACTTTTAAAATTCAATAGAACAAAAGGCTTGAGAAGAACATAACTCGTATAAGACCAAAAAAGACATGACCATACACGAATACATGGCAATTAGTCCTGATTTCACACATTCGATGCAAATTAGTCGGATTCAAGCCCTAGTTTACTCGATTGAAAGCAGATGGGGTATACATAATTGAGTGCATCCATGGTTTGTAAAAACTGATTTTGAGATGATTGCGTTTTCCATTTGGAAGGAAGTTGCGTCTGATTAAAAATTTAAAGAAGTGAAGAAGGAAGGAGGAAGGAAAAAGAAATAAAGAAGAAGGTGTCTCGTGTGCCATTTGGAAACAAGTCAAGGGATTTTTCTTTCTCTTTAAATTAAAATAAGGGTATTATTGTCAATATCTTATTTTTTATGTGGATAGATAAAAAGGCTCCGTGGCAAAATCAGCACCCTTTACAAAATCGTAGAAGATTTTTCAAGGAAAGTGGATCAGGAAATTTCCTTCCATAAAGAAAACAGCAAATAGACTCGGTTTTTTCTTACCCATGAGCATTTGTTACCGTGATTTGCTCGCCGCAAATTACTTTTTTGTCGGTGACCTCTTCACTCGTTTCTTCTCCAAAGATTTATATTTGTTATTGCTGGAGATTTAACAAGAAGGGGTTGTCGGCTTGTCGCAGATGGTTATCGCCACACCGGCGGTGCCAACTGTCGTTAAAGCTGCAATTTTTCATTAAGAACGTCATGATCTAGCATCGCTTTATTACCTCTGCACTACACCTGCAAGTTGTTGCAATTTTTCATTAAGAACATCATGATCTCGTTAAGTGAACTTTAAGTGAAAGTTGAGGCAACATGTATACAAGACTCTTTAAGTGAAGTTCGGAATTATTATGGTTTTCATCGTCATATTTTGAAATGGGAGAATCACCAAGGTCTTTTAGGGATTTGGTGCGCCCCCAAGCTAGACGTTTCACCTACCTGGCCAGATAGAATGAGTTTTCCTAGCCCTAGTCTTACTAAGGTTGAATTACTCTATAGGATAGTAGGCGAATGAATCGCATTAGTACAATTTGGCTTGCTGAATCGCCCAACGAACGAGATTGTGGCACTCCACTCGCCGCTAATGCCGAAAAGAGTGGAAGGGTCTTTCGCACCGTTGCATGCGTCATATTCTGTACAACAAGCAAGCTTTGTACCTTCAAATTAAAACGTATGGACGCAAAATAAAATTCTCCAAAACTGGGTTCTCAAAGGTGTATCTCCCAACCAATTATCTTCTTAAAAATACATGTTTACCATCACCCCCTCTCCGAGCACAAAAATAGTAAAGATTGATACCTTTGACGTTCACTCGTTTAGCAAAATGCAAGATATGAATCCACTGGGGGTGCGAATGATGAGTAGAATATTAGAAATGTAATGTCTATTCTCACTGTGTATGTTTTTTATAACATGAACCCACCAAGCTTTATCACAACATTGAGATCGTCGCCCTCTTTGTTTGTCATTTTTTTCCATTTAACCCAAGTAAAAATTTTATCATCAAAATCAGTCCCAAAAAATAATATATTCCTAAGAGATTTCAAAGTGTCGATAATTTTTTGAGGGACATAGAATAGATCCATAAATTACATTGCCATATTCTCAAGTATTGACTCGCTAAGTGTGAGACGGTCACCAACGGAAAGAAGATTAATATTCCAATTAGCAATTTGCAACATGAATTTATCAACCACTTCTTTCCTGCTTGAAATCAAATTCATATTTGATTCTACCGGAAGACTAAGATATGTAACCGGTGGTTTTAAAGCCGAACGTTGTTAGGTGCATTTTGTGCACCTTTTTGCATATTTTTTGTACCATTTATGCATATCCTTTAGTCTTAAAACCTTTCTTTCACTCATATTATGTCATAAAGTATATTTTTCGGGTGAACAATCTTTTTTCCATATATTTATGGTTATTTTAGGTGGTTTGAGGATTGAAATATTTTAAGGATGATCGAGTCAAAATTTCAGAGTATTCAAGCGAGAAACAGACGAAATAGAAAATATTAAGATGGTTGGAACTCCAGGGTAGGACACAGACTAGGGTAGGACACAGACTGTGTGATTAAAGTTGGACCGTGTGATTTTTCACTGATTTCACATGGTCATTTGATTGGAAAAATGCAGTTTTAGCAACCTACTTTTGAAAAATTCCCAAATTGAGCGACATACTTTAGCTTTCACACAGATAGTGTGAAATTACATTAATTCCACATAGACCTTGGGTCACATATAACCACTTTTTAGGCATTTTCCCTTTTAGCCTTATTTCAAGATTTTAGCATTTTCTCTTGTATACATGCCATAGGAGACCATCAGGAGACCAAAGATTTTGAAGACTTTTGCTTAGAAATCATTTGGAACATTTGGTTGATAAGTTTTAGCCATGCTAACACAAGTTCATAAATAGCGGAAGCATATAAAAATTCTTATGTGCTCATGTAACCTATAAGGATCTAAGTTCATTATATTATTGTAACTACAAAAGTAATAAGAATAACATAATTCTTTAGAAGCTAGATACCTCCTTGATTGAGATCGGTTCTTGCCACCATTGCTTGGATGTAAGGACCCAAAGGAGAATCCATCTAATGGTATCACACCTAAGATCACCAAGAGAGGAAAACGACAAACCCTAGGAGAGGGGATATGAAAAAGCGAAAATTATAAACCCTAAAGGGTTTATTTTCGTCCAATAAGAGGCAAGAGAGAGGAGGCCAAATTTTCAAGGAAGGAATGAGCATCTAGGGTTTGATCCCTAGTTCCCTATTTATAGACTTAGAGTTACTTAATCCCAAATCAACTGAAAACCATGATATGGTTTATCCTAAAATTCATCCCCTATCCATAGTCTTCTGGAATGTTCTATTTATTTAAAATTTTTAATTAATAAACATTTAGTCCCTTTAATTAATTAATTTTCAATTAATTCCAAAATAGTTTCTAATTAATTTATCATACCATGACAAATTAATAAACTAATTTTTCTTAAATCCTTTTTGTCTTTTAATTGCTCAATTGGGTCTTAAGGGCAACCCAAAAGACCCAGTTATTATTAGAAATATTACCTACAACTATGACCTTGGACATTCTTTCCAACAGTTTCCCACTTGGACATGAACTATACGATGTGATGTCTAACTGTAACTTAAAGCAAAATGTTCTTGTGTACATGTAGCTTGAATAGTCAATAATTATAGATGAACAGTCAATAACTATAGATTAATAGTCAAAATTAATGTTCCTGTGCATATGTAGCTTGAAGCAAAATGTTGTTACTTTCGATATTGTAACGAGAACGGGAAGAACAGATGGGTTTAGAAAGTCAATGTTGGTGGTCGAAGTATCATTAGGTGTATATCGTATTCAAAAGGTCAAAATTGATGTTATTTAACATGGTTCGATACCTCAGCTGGGTTTGAAGTGAATATACGTTAACAAGATTTTATGTATCGAAATCGGGAAGGATCGAAGTGGAGTCGAAGGACGTCAAAGGTTCGATGACTCTTCGATGGTGGTTCAGTGGCATTTCGACTATGGTTCGATGGTGTTTCGGCATTGCCGGAAAATAGACTTCGATAGTGGAGAATCGTGTTCGAGTCGAAGATTGAATGGTCGAAGAATGGACTTCGATGGGTGAGACTTGAGTTCTAATTGAAGGTTTATCGAAGTTTCAATATTTGAAGTTGGCGTTGCTGTGTTTCTTTAATTTGGTATTGGTAATGGGCGGTTCATTTTTCTAGTTCATTTTAGGATCGCAACTTCCTGCGTAGTCCGTGCCAGTAGTGATATCCTAATTCGGCTACCTCTCCCACTCATCAAGGCAGAACATTAGAAAGGTAAACTATTGCCAAGAGAGATCGGGGAACGCTCTACCCCTAACAAAAATTGAGGAAGAAGATAACCAAAGTTACACATTTGGTCCTTTGATTTTCAGCAACTTGGCATTTTTCACCCAGAATCAGAAACCTTTGCAA